GACACAGCTCCTCCAACTCCTGCGCTTCCCCTGAAAGTAGGTCACTGCAGCGTGTCATCTGCCAGGCTGTTTTTGGGAAGACACGCTCCCCGCTAAGGCACGGCGCAGGCCAGCTTCATCCCTGATGTAACCCTTCACCGAGCTGCCAAGGTACAAAAAACAAATGCGCATCCCTGATTGCTGACATCAATGAAGAGGAACGCGGGCCAGGGAGCCCTCGGGAGCCAGAAGCGCCCCCTCCCAGCAGCGTCCCAGACCCGGCTCCAGCACAGCTCCTGCTCGTGCTGCTGCAGGGAGCTCCGTGCTTAGGAGAGAGCCTCGCCAAGCGCCCGAGGCACCAGGCTGGAGAGAAATAACTCTGCAGGTTGTGCTTTTCATCCTGTTTTTCCTGTTGAGAAGTAGATATCCTTCCTCCCAGCCGAAGCAGCTTGAAGGCATCCTTTCTGGCACTATGGTATTCCAAAGCAGAGGGTGAGCACCAGAAGCACCCAGCACTGACCTCATCTCTCGGCTCCAGAGCCGCTCCCGGGCACGCAGAGCATCCTTGCCCTCCGGCCACACAGCCTGCAGCTCCCTCAGTGGCAGCTATTAAAAATCACATGCAGGGAACAAAAGCAGGAGCTCAAGCAGGTACAGCTTTCCCCTTGTTTCAAGAGGTCTGAGAACAAGGGGGAGGGCAACAGGTACCTGCCTCTGCAGGACAGGGATGGAGAGACCTCAGGCTGCTGCAGCCACAGGGAGCCACTGAGGAGCTCACCTCCATCAGATGAGGATGTGGGCTCCTGATCCGCGCCCCTGTGGGCCAGGAATTAAACTCGACTGATTGCCCTCACAGGTTTCCACCGACAGGCTCAGCAGTCTCCATGGCAAGTGTTCAAGCACCGCTATTTCAAGAGAAAACCAAGTTTGGTTCTTCCAAGAAAGGCTCACTGCAAAGAACAGCAGGGGGATTATTTTTTTCCCTCCCCTCCTAAGTATACATATACATTTTAATCTGACATTTAAGTCTTCGCTCCTTTCATTGGAGGAATTAACACTCATCTTCATAAACTCCTCATCCCAACAAGCAGCATATGCCAGAGCAGAACGAGATGCGATGCAAAAAAGGCAGAAGATTTAATCAAAGCAATTTTGATTTTATTCTTGCTCATGAATCAATCTTGATTTCCCATTCACGGCAGCCCCTGTTCTCTGAATGGCAGCCGTACACAAAGAGGCATCTGTTCCACCTCCAGCCACCGCACGAGCTGCCTCCCTAACCGGGGACAGCACGACCAGGGTTAGGAACAGGCAACACCGACGGGAAAAGTCTTGACTGCAGCAATGCTGCAGGAATAAAGGGATCAGCAGATCCAAGAAGTAGGAAGCGTTCACGGCAGTGCCAGATCCCCTCCGAGCCATCAAACGTGCACGTTCGCTCCCTCCCCATCTGCTAGGTGTCGGTGAAAGCTCTGCTTTTAAAAAGCAAGTGCCTGGAATAGAGAACGGGGCCTGGGCTCCCCGCTGGCAGCAGCGTGCTCCGATGCTAGCAGGGGCCTGTTGCAGTGCTGCCATGCCTACTGCCACACAAACGCAGCCTCATAAAATAATCACCGGGTTGGAAGCGTACAAGGGAACGCACGCTTTGGCTTCTGGAATTCTCTCTGTGCAAGGAAAGCTCGCGTTTGGTGGAGCAGAAGCCATCTGCAATGCAGATCCTACAAAGAAAGGAGCTACCCACAGACCTGCACAGTGGCTTACGCTGCCAGCCAGCCAGATACCTAACAGGCTGCACACCTTCAGACACTCTGCAGAGCCAGGGCAGCAGCCAGCCTGGCTCTTCGAAAATTCAGAGGCACCATGTGCCAGCCAGCAGTCCCACACAGGCTCTGAGCACCTCGTGGGCAGCTGGAGCCGTGATCCCCACCGGGATCACCCAGCGCCATCAGGCACAGAGGGGTCCCCGAGATGGCTGGGGCCATGCCTGTAGAGCCAGGAGCTGGTTTTAAATCTGACGTGTGGTTCTCTGGCTGCATGCTTTGAGCTGAAACACTCAGCCTGCATCCAGCAGGAGGGCTGGATACGGGGTTTTCTTCGGGGGAACTGATTCCTGGGTGGCCACCCAGCTGCCACACCAACCGTCCCAGGGTGCGGAAGGCTGGCTGCAGAAGCCTTCCGTTCTCAGCAGCCAAGGGTGGTGCAGCCCCCCAAGAACCCAAGGGAACCTGAGGCTGGCCACACTCCTCCTTCACCCCAAGGGTTCCCCCCCCGAGCTCGTTAGCCCAGCGCCGCTGACGACCCCAGCGCTGCCGAGCGTCCCCCGGGCGGTGCCCCAGCGCTTGCAGCAGGCAGGAACTCTGCCGCAGCTTCCAGGTTTGGGTGTTGGCTCCGGCGCGGTATTTTCCATCTTCCCGAATCCAAAGAGCTTTCAGTTCAAGAATTCGAAAAGGGATTTGACTGTTTCCATCCTCGGGCCCTCCCCCGGTGCCTCAGCGCGGTCGGCACAGAGCTCCTTCTGTTCGGGGAGCGGAGCGCGAAGGGATGCAGCGGGGAACCTGCACCGTGGGCCGCGTGGGGTTGTTTTTAAGGCAGGCCTTACAGATGTTTCAGATCACAGCACAGGCGTTAATTACAGGATTTGTCCACCTCTGCTACTGAATTTAAGCGCAGTTGGTCTGCTACAGTGAGACTTTAAAATATCCTACTGGACGCCAAGAGGCCTCCAAAGGAAAAAAAAAAACAAAAACAAAAAAAAAAAAAAGAAAGAAAAACAGGTGTTTGAACTTAAAAGGTTCTTAAATATCCTGACAAAGAAAGGAGCACTGTGAACACAGCCTTGTTGTTCACATCTGACCCTGCCCACTTCTCGTGTCTGCCAGCCACGCGGCCCTGCAGCAGCTCCTGCCTCAAACGCAGCCCGGAGCTGCTCTGGGCCTGGCACGTCGACTTCCAACAACAGGCTCCATCTCACTGCCATCAGCTCCTTACTCCTTCTTTACTCCTTCTTTACTCCTTCCCAGCAGCTGGCACACAGCTCCTCGTACCCGGTCCTTACAGAGGAGATCCCCCCCAGCCCTATGCCTGCAGAGATCAGGCCCATGCCTGCACACAGGCCCTGGAGTTTTCGCCCAGCTGCACGCTTGGCACCCGGTATCATTTCTGCCCAAAACTTGAAGGGGAAAGTCTGAAGAAACCACTTAGATCACGCACAGTTTTGGGATGCTGCCACCCCTCTCTCTGCTCCTTCGTTCTAGCCATGGCACCATGCGATTGCCATTGCCCTCAGGCAGCTCCATGGCCAGGGGAAGCCTGGAAGAGCTAAGGACAGTGAGAAACCCCCAATAACCACACATGTTATGGCAGGTCTCACTTCAGGGATGGACCAAAGTGCTATGGTCTACCAGGAAATGCAACAGAGGCTCAAAAAAAAAAGGCCAAGCTAATTAATAAAGCCTTGTTAGAAGGAACTCGCAGCAGCAAGCACAGCCTCTGCTGCCTTTACAAAGGGAAGATCAATATCGACCACCTAAACAGCAGCAACAAACCCTCGAGATCATTTCAACGTGAACGACTGCTCAGCTGGTAAGGCTTGAAGAAACACTCTCTGTGCCCTGTCCCACGTTTTTTCATAGCTGCTCGGTGCTGTGCAACGTTAGAGAGCTCTGCTGCTCTTAACCACTGTAATAAATACGTAGCAATCCCTTACAAGGCTAATAAATAGCATCTTAAAAGCTTTGTCCGGATCTGCTTTTTCCATCCAATTAATATAACACAATACTAGAGCACTGAATTATTGAAGAGAAATACAAGCCGTGGCTTTCACAACCACGCTCTACTCCAGTGGCAATTTATTACAAATTAATAGTGTGCTGCATTGCCTCCTGCACCACCAGAACTGCACTCGGCCACCCGTCAGGCTACAGCAGCCACCAAAGCTCTGGAGCTGCCACGAGACACAAGTCCCAAACGCATGGGGAAGAGCTGTGCACAAATCAGCCCGGGCAGCAGGAGGAGGGATGGATGGCCAACAAAAAAAACAAGTTGCTTCTGCTTTTCAGGGCTTTTCTACTCATGAAACGAACCTGGTCTGTACGGGAATAATTGGTCTTTGATTGTATCAGTGCTCAAAAGCACGCCTGGCGTGCCGGGGTGACAACACGGCGCACGTTCATCCCTGCATGAAAGCAACGCTGAAATTTAAGACAGGCCTGACTGTAAACAGAATTGATTAATGTGCAAATGTGGCGCTTCCAATTTGCACATTTAAAGTTACATCTGCTCGGCACGATGTTTCCAATATTTTTCACACCCTGTCCTTAAAAACGCACTTGCCCCAAAATGAACCTCCAACGCTCGTCTTAGAGATGAATCCCATATTGAAAAAAAAGTCTGTGTTTATTTTTTTTTTCCTCCCCTCTTCAGCAAAGCGGTTCAAACACCAGCCAGCCAGAAAGATATCAGCATTTCCCCAAGCTATTGCTCTGGGAGCTGTGACGAGCCCCTCAAGAGCACCATCAGAGCTGCCACGGGCCTGTGTGAAGGTTACCTACCAGGCAGAGCATTCAAAGCCCATTTCACGTGCTTCTTGCCAGAAAACCTCTGTACGTGCTGATCCTCCAAACAGCTGGAGGGGAGGTAAATGCATCAGCAGCCGGAGGTTAGCAGATCCGTGCTCTGCAGCACTCAGAGTGGCATCTCCAGCAGCAGGTCAGCCAAGCCACCCCTCTGCCCAGGCAGCAAAGCCCCACAGAGCCACAGGGGAGAGCAGACACCAAACCAGAAGGGAGTTTCTCTCCTTGGCTTTGCTGTTCCCATCACACGTTTAGGAAGGGACTTTCCTGATGAGCAGGAGAGCACGCAGCATTCCACCACGATTCCTGTGCCACCCTTTTCAACCCTATTACTGAGCGCACCCAGCCGCCCCCTCGCTCTCCTCCCAGCACACCAGCCCAGCTCGCTCCTGTTTCGCCGCAGAGCCTGGCATCCTCCTGGCCTCACCTGCACCGCGGCACCAGACTCACCTCCATTTCTGATAGCTCTGATCCCCCGATGGAAATCTTCGAAGCTGATGACTCCAAGTCCACTGGGATCGAGGTACTTGGTTAGGTCCTTCACCTGCAAGGACGAGAGCAGCGTTACCAGGAAGCCCTCTGAGCATCATCCACATCCTCACATGAGCTCCTAACGAGGGAAACACTTCCTAATGAGTTCTGCCTCCCTACCTTCCTCTCCCACATGACAAAGATTGGGGTTAACGACAGTGGATTTCTTAAACTGACACCAAACTGCAGCAGTTTTCCCTCAAACACGAGTGCTCAGCACAGAGGGGTTAACTGGCACTTGGCTGGCACAGAACCATCGCTTGGTCCTGAAACATCGGTGGGCGCGCTTTTTCTTTCAACACAGTCCAGGGATTTTCTGCCAGGGATTTATTTATTCTAATATTTTTTAAAGAGCTTCTACCATAACTGGGAAAACTCATTAACAGGCTGCCCAGTAGGAGGGCCCAATTAAGAGGATTTGGTGATAATGAACTGCTCCACGCTACAAGTTTAGGCCACACAGTTGAAACATTGCACAATTAGGCGATGGCTGCAGGGGAGGGAGAAGCCCATGGGGTGCGGGTAAGGCAGGCACACCCGAGGAGCAGGGACACTCCCAAGACACACTGAGGGGGATCCCAGCACCTCCAGCAGGGTGGGACAAGGTTTGAGGGCAACACCGAAGTCATTCCTCATGGTCCAAACAAAGACTTGAAAAAAGCGCCTTTGGTTCCTGCCTCCCAGGCTGCCACTGCTGCCACTTCCCAAGCTGCTGTGACAGTCAGGCATTTTCCTCTAAAAGAAAAACCCAAATCCTCATTTCAAGAGACCTTCAAATACTTGAGACCCACAGCCACAAGCTGAGGAACAAGCCCAGGATGAAGCAGGCTGTCAGAGACAGAGAAGGGAGCTGCAGCATCAGCTCCACACTCAGGGGCTGCCCTCACCCTGCTGGGCACATTGCCCGGGGTGGAGGCGCAGGAGGGAGCCTTGGGGAGCTCCGCTCCTGGTGCCGGACTCGTTCAGCCCCCACAAGCACAGCCGGGTGCAGAGGGTGATCTCCACCCTGACCTGATCTTGGCAAGGCGGCGGTGAGTGGCTGAGCCCCCCCTTGCACGGGAGGAGGCACACACCACGCGTCCACGGACGCCTCTCACACCCGAGGGCAAGGGGGATGAAGGAGCGCAGCCGCGGTGCTCGGAGCCTCCTGACTCAGCCACGCATCAGCGGGAGCTTCCTTGCTGTTTGGTTTGGGTTGCCTCCCTCTAGAAACCCGGCTCTGTTTGCACAGGAGGACGTCCCTGCAGCCCCACCTGCGGCTCTCCGAGCTGAGCTGCGTGGGATGGAGGGGAGGGGAGGCCAAGCCCAGACGCAGGCAGCACCCAGCACACTGCTGGCACGGAGGTGATGGTGGGGCTGAGACCCCCAGAGCTCGGCTGTGCCTCCCCGGGGCCATGGGGAGACGAAGTCACCGAGCCCCAGTGCCCACCAGCTCACCCGCCTGCCCCATCACGGACTGGGGGTGAGGAAATCTGAGCATCTCCTCTGCTCCTGTGGGTGCCTTTTGGGTATGGGCTGAGCTCGCGTGGCGCTCTGAGCTGGGTGAGTCAGGCCTCTTGTACCTTAAACAAAGGTGTTTTAGGCTAACAAAAACAGCTCGGGGAATGCGGCAGTTCCAGTTAAAGCATCTGGCGGTTTCGGGTTCAAAAGCCACAACTTTTAATTTATTATCCGTGCCTGTAGACACCAACTGGACTTGATGATCCCGTACATGAGCACCAGCAGACAGAGCACGAGCAGCCACTGATGCTCAGCATCGCTCAGGGCATGCAGAGGACAAAACCACCAGCAGCACCCACCTGGTCCACCCACTCTGTCCCTGCGCCCATGGCCACGGAGCTGGGGACAGAGGGGCCATCCCTGCCCAGCCCCGTTAGCACCCACGGGCATCCAGCCCTGCCCCTGCGAGGCCCAGCAGCTCGCTGCCTGCTCCCACAGGCTTTCGGCGATTCCACGCCACTCCCGGGTGTTTCACCACCACCTCCCAGTGCCACCACCACGAGACACGGGGAGGTGTGACTGGGATGTCCCCACAGGGTCCCAGCCGCTGCTCCATCCCCTGGACCATTTCCATCGCTGGTTCTGTGCCCTCTCCAGCCCCTCTGCCCCTTTTTGGAGACGGAGACAAGAACCAGGCACAATATTTGAGATGCGGGACCAGCCGTCTGCGGTGCTCCTGGACCCCTGATCCCAAGGGCCACCGTCTCCTTCATGCCTGGACTCGGACAGCTCCAGCGCCCCGCTCCTGAGCTGTAACCACCCACCCATCTGCTCCATTTCTTCATTTTGCAAACAGGCTGAAAAAACGTCTTATCAGAACAGTTAAAAACAAGAATTACGCCTCCAATAGTAAAGCTAGATTTGCTGATCTACAAAAGTCCCAGATCTGCTGCTTTCAGCTGAGAGCTGATCTAGGAAGCAGTTAACAGTCCTAGCACTAACTCCTACCTGTCCCTATTAGCTCCAACACTACGCCAACATAAACCACAGCCACAGGGAGGTCCCTTCTCCTGGCCAGCGAGAAGTATTCAAAATAAAGGCTTTGCTTAATGTGTTTGTAGCCGGTTACAGGCTCCTTTTGAAGAGGCACGAGCAGCTAGAAACAGAGCATTAAAGAGTCAGAGATGCCAAGGCTTCAACAGCAGGCTTAAGTCCCGGCTGAAGGGGAGATTTGCACTACTTTGAGTCAAAGTCCCTTGAGATGAAGTTGTGAGACCTGCCAGAGCTCTGCTCACCCCGTGCCAGGGTCGAGGCACAGCCCGGGGCCAAAGCGGGACCGGGCTCCTGGCACCAGCCCCTACGGGACCTGTGGGAGGTGGGTTTGCCCCAGAGCCCAGTTCTCTGATTTATGGACACTTCCCTGCCTTGCAGATCTCCAGACCTCAGGCACCCAAACGCAGCGAAGCTCAAGAGCTTCTGAGGCTCAGCTAAGCCAGCGGTGAGGATCCCAAACTCGGATCAGCACAAAGGCTTGGCAGCTATACGAGGGGAGTTTTTCCTGGAGGTGAGGGATTCCCCAGCCCTGAGGGGCCCTATTCTTCCAGCGGCCCTGGAGGAAAAGGAAAAGGAAGCTCCAGGCGTTTCTCTTTGCCTTGCTGGTGCTCCGTGTCTGCAGCAGGCAGCAGAGGGGTCCAGCAGAACCAAAAATGCCCTGCACACGTCTGCTGGGGGTGTTGCTTCCACCTGGCCACCACCGGGGCCACCCCAGGGCCCCCACGCTGTGTGAGGCGGTGACTTGGCAATGCCACAGCAAGGGTGGCACCTCAGCACTGCTTTATGCCGCGCAGACCCTAGAAATAAGTCCAATAAATCCAAAAGAGACAAGGAGGGGGAATCAGTACTGACATCCCCGATACAACATGCCCAGAGACTGCATGCCTGCATTCCCACACGTGCTGATAAGCACAGCCTGAGATGCTCCTGCCCTGAAATCGCTCCCTCCTGTCCTTGGGAAGGTTCTGCCAGGTCTCAGCCTGCCGAGCAGCAGGACAAGCACCGAGGTAAGGCACGGGAACCTGAGTGAGGCTGAAGAGCTGGTCCTGCTAATGGGTAGCTTACGCTGCCGGGTCCCCGAAGGGGAGCATGTGCACAGAGAAACTGGAGAGCTGTGAGAAAGACACCGAGAGGGCTGGCACGACAAGGAACACCGCGCTGGAGGCTACCCAAGGGTCCGGCTGAAGCAGCCAGGCGCCTGGCTCAGCACCCTCCGGACATCTGAGCTACCAGCAGGGACAGACCAGCTCCCCGGTGAAAAAGCCCTCAAAACCAGTAAGAAGAGTCTGGAACGCGTTGGGTGACACAGCACGCTGCTGCCTGGGACTTAAATTTACCCTAAAACCTCAGAGGCAGCGTTAACACAGCCACCCGAGGAAGCCCCTCACCCAGCAGTTCCCGATGGCAGCGCCGGACGGCAACCACCGCAAGCAGCAGCAGCGACCCGTGAGCGGTTCAAAACCCATGGACGTTTCACTTCTAAAAACTAATCCTACAGAAAGGCGATGGCTTAGCCTAAAGAGGGAGCTTTGAAAGTGGCTGCTCAGAGCGAGGACGGGCTGGGAGCCCCCACCCCGGGCCGGCATTCCAGCGCCGAGGCTGCGGTGGGCAGAGCAAACAGGAGGTCGTACGTGCGGCTCCCAGATGGCTCCTGGCACCCGCTCCTGGCCCAAAGCCGCCAGCCCGGCCGAGGCAGGCTGCTGGTGGGAGTCCTGTCCACACCGACACGGGGCCACCAGGGAGCTGGGGGAGGCACCGGGGATCCCATACGGCTCAGCAGGAGCAGAGCTTTCCTAGGGAGGGGAGAGGGGAGAAGGGCCAGACCCCGTGCCCCCGGCACCTTTGCACCCTCTTCATCCCCACGTGCTCGTTGCTGCCCCTCCAGCTATACCCGACTCGATAGGAGATTGCTCTGCCACAAAAAGACGACCATGCCTGCTACAGGGCCAGAAAAGTTTTCCAAAAACACTGCTGCAGCTCCTTAATCGGCTCTGCAAGTCACACCGCACGCAGACACCGCTCCCGGCACATCTGGATGTTCAGAGAACATCTGACAACAGAAAATAAAACTTGGCTTTTAAGCCAGCTGCTGAGATTTTTTTTATTTTTTTCTATCAGCCTCTTTTCATTCGTTTCCTGCTCCCCTTCGCTGCCTGCACGCTCTGCTGGAGCTCTGCCCGGCTCGGCGCGAGGCTCGGCACTACGCTGACCGTGCCCAAAGCCAGCCCGGGTCTCCTGCTTGGCCTTAAAAAGCCCTCTCCAGGCCACCCCTCCTTATTTGTAGCCTTCGGATTGCGGCAGATTTGGGTTTACGAGGCCCTGCCTGCAGACAGCCTGCCGTGCCCAACACTCTGGGTCTGCCTGCCTTGTAGGGCCGGCAAGGTTTTGGGAAGGGAGACCCATGGAGATGGTGCCTGTGCCCGTGTGCCCCTGCCCTGCCCACGTACGCCTACAGGAGCTGCGAGCAAAACAAAGGAGTAAAAACATCCTAAAAGCCTCTGGGTCAGAGAGGCTCCTACC